AACAGAACATGAAACCCAGAAGCCACAGAGAAAAACACTGATAGATTTGACACATACAAATTTATAACTTCTTTATGATGAAAAATATAAATAAAGTTAAAAGATAAGTTATGGATTTGAAGAAAATAATTACAATACATAAAAGAATCAAGAAGTTAATACGTTTACTATACAAAGAACTCCCAAAATTAGTAAAAATACCAACTCAACAAAAAGTAGAAAGAATATATTAACGTATAGATGAGTCAGAAAAGGAAACGCAGATGGCCAGTAATAAATGTTTAATCTCATATATAAAATATGAAACACAAATAACATTGAACTTTCAGTGTAAGGCTAGACTGAGCACCCATAGGTACCTCTCTTTCAAGGTCTTTATTTTTCTAATTTCACCATTACATACCCTTAGGTGCATCACCTCATTATTACCATCACTCTACAAATAAGAAAACTAGGACATAAAGTAGTTAAATCATTTGGCAAAAGTCAAACAGATAATCAAAGCAGCAGAGCTGGTGTGCACTCAGCATTTGGACTCTAGGATCTACCCTCTAACCCACCATACTATGCTACCTCTAAATGAACTAAAGCAGGTCTGGGAGTGGCCAAGACACTTTCAGAAGATCTATGAAGTTAAAACTTTTCATAATAATAGCAAAACATAATTTGGCTTTTCCACTCTTTCATGAGTGTGGCAGTATCATTTTCCAGAGGCTTCATGACATGTAATGTTGCAAAAGATTAAATGCAGAAGCAGATACGAGAATTCAGCTGATTTCCATTAAGTCTCATATTAAAGAGATTTACAAAAAAGTAAACAAAGCCACTCTTGTTTGGAAATATGTAACTTTTTCATGAAAATATTTATAACATGTAATTAGTTTATTTTAAATGAATTTATAAATAGTTTTATATTTTTCACTTTTAATTTCTGATTGGTAAATATAAATAGATAAAATCCACATAAACAAAAGCTCTTTGTGTTCCTCAATAATTTTTAAGGATGTAAAGGGATCTTGAGGCCACAAAGTTTGAGAACTACTGAATTAAAGAATTACCTCCAGTCAACTGACAGCTGAGTCAGTTAGGCCTCTATCACCCTTCACTCACATATACGGAGGGAACCCACTGGGAATCTGTGGCTTTTCCCCCAGGAATAAAATCTCAAGAGGTCTTCTGTAGGCTAGAGCAAAGTATGGTAAGGATAAATATTTGAGATGGTACCATCTCACTATCAGCCGTTCTCTACTTCCTGGACACAAACTTTTGCACAAGTGCAAACTGTCTATTGAGTAGCACCTGTGTTCACTAAATGGCCCCACCATGGCATGCTAGCAGATGCTCTCTGTTAGGGAAAGGACGTGCTTATCTAGTACCAACAGTAAGAAATGTCCTGGATGACAAAGGAGTGACTGATGCTTATCTGTTGTGCCTCAAGACACCTGATTCTGGTTTTCCATTTATAATACTGCAGTGGCTCACACCTGTAATCCCAGCACTTTGGGAGGAGGAGGCAGGCAGATCCCCTGAGGTCAGGAGTTCAAGATCAGTCTGGCCAAGATGGTGAAACCCCGTTTCTACTAAAAATACAAAAAAATTAGCTGGGCGCAGTGGCAGGTGCCTGTAATCCCAATTATTCGGGAGGCTGAGGCAGGAGAATCACTTGAACTCAGGGGGGCGGAGGTTGCAGTAAGCTGAGATCGTGCCACTGCACTCCAGCCTGAGTGACAGAGTAAGACTCCATCTCAAAAAAAAAAAAAAATTAGCCGGGCGTGGTGGCAGGCACCTGTAATCCCAGCTACTCATAGGAGGCTGAGGGATGAGAATCACTTCAACCCAGGAGGCGGAGGTTGCAGTGAGCTGAGAGTGCGCCACTGCACTCCAGCCTAGGTGACAGACTGAGCCTCCGTCTCAAAAATAAAATAATAAAATAAATTTAATTTTCAAAATTGAATTTATTTAAAGAAAAGTGTTAGGAAAATGTTATATACTTAAAGATGGCAAAAATTGTTAAGGAAGTTTGAGAAACATTGCTAGAAAGCACATCATTAGTCTGTCTGGGGTGGGTCTTTGATGTAGTAGTTAGGGGTCTGAGAAAAATGGGGCAGACATGGAGTAACTCCAGACCCCCACGCTAAGGGAGATTAAGAAGTGAAGTGGAAAAGCAACTCTACCTGAGAGTGAAAGGTTGAAACCTGGCATTCGTGAGAGGACCTGTAGTCTCTACTTGTTCCTTCCCCAGTAAATCTGCTTAGTGGTATGTTTCACTCACACAAAGCTTGTGTTCACACCTATATGTCTTCTACTGCTACTCAGTCTTCACTAGAGACCTAATTTTCCCTTAAAACACTTTATGATCATCTATCTGATAAGGAGTTGCTACCCAGAATATATAAAGAACTCTCTACAACTCAACCACACACACACACACACACACACACACACACAAAACAATTTAAAAATGAGCAAAGGACTTGAATAGACACTTTTCCAAAGAAGATATACAAATGGCCAATAAGCTCATAAAAAGATGCTCAGTGTTACAAGTGAAATGCAGGTCAAAACCGCAGTGAGATACCACCTCACACTCATTAGGATGGCTATTACAAAACAAAAACAAAGCAGAAAATAACAAGTGTTGGTGAGGATATGGAGAAACTGGAAACACTTGTGCACTGCTGGTTGGAATATAAAATGGTGCAGCTACTGGCCGGGCGCAGTGGCTCACACCTGTAATCCCAGCACTTTGGGAGGCCGAGGCAGGCGGATCACGAGGTCAGGAGATCGAGACCATCCTGGCTAACACAGTGAAACCCTGTCTCTACTAAAAATACAAAAAAATTAACCAGGCATGGTGGTGGGCGCCTGTAGTCACAGCTACTCCAGAGGCTAAGGCAGGAGAATGGTGCGAGCCCGGGGAAGGGGAGCTTGCAGTGAGCCAAGATCGCGCCACTGCACTCCAGCCTGGGCAACAGGGAAAGACTCCGTCTCAAAAAATTAAATTAAATTAAATTAAATTAAAGTGCAGCTCCTATGAAAAAGAGTTGGCAGTTTCTCAAAAATTTAAAAATATATTTACCTTATGATCCTGCATTTCCACTTCTGGGTATACACCCAAAAGAAAGCAGTAACCCTAACAGGTGTTTGCAGACCAATGTTCATAGCAAAGTTTTTCACAAAAGTCAAAAGGTGGAAGCAACCCAAGTGTCTGTTGATGGGTAAATGGATAAACAATATGTGGTGTGTGTGAGTATATATATATATATATATATAATGGAATATTATTCGACCTTAAAAGAGAAGGAAATTTTGACATATGCTACAACATGGATGAAACTTGAAGTCATTATTCTAAGTGAAATAATGTCATCATGAAAGGACAAATATTGTATGATTCTACTTATGTGAGGTGCCTATAGTAGTCAAATTCATAGAGACAGAAAGTAGCATGGTGGTTGCCAGGGGTGCGGGGAGAGGGGAGCAGGAAGTTCTTATTTAACGTGTACAGAGTTGCTGTTTGATATGATTTTGAAAGTTCTGGAGGTGGATGGTGGTGATGGTTGCACAACAATGTGGATGTACTTAATGCCACAGAACTGTTCATTTAAAAAATGGTTTTACTGGTAAATTTTATGTTATATCTATTCAATCACAATTTTTAAAAAACACTGTTAGGAACTATTATCCATATAACTTAAAATATGATCTGAATTATTATATGTCTCATGTGAAACAGATAATGAGACATACAGCACAGATGACCCCAAGGTACTAACCAATCCCTGCTCACAAACCACAATAGTTAATGTAATTTGCATGGCATGGTTATCCGTTGTTTTACTCACAGATTAAAAATTTAGACAGATAGAATATTGCATTTAGGTCTCCATTTTAGGCTTTTCTTTTGCAACCCTGGTAATATTACAATACAGAAGGCTGGAGCCAAAAAGGAAGCAATGGGGCTCTGTTGTGCCAGGAAGTTACCCCAAAACAGAAGCACCTGTTATCCAACTAATGTATGATGCAACCGTGCTTAGGGGAGTTACAGTGCTACAGCAACAGTTGTCCAGGGCCTACATATTCAGATACTTGGTGTATCCAGATCATTTTGCTGTGCAGACTTTCTTTTTGCAAAACAGTACATGTACTGTACAAAACCTTAAGAGAATCATAAGCACTTTTTTAATAGGAAAGGTGATCCGTATTTCAAAACATTTTCATAATTTTATCTATTTTTTACCAAGATAGTGTAGTCACGCTTTTCTTGTGAGTAAATGGTTGGTTGTTACTTATATATTTATTTTTACTTATTTATTTAATTTTTTTTGAGACAGAGTCTCACTCTGTTGCCCAGGCTGGAGAGCAGTGGCACGATCTTGGCTCACTTCAACCTCTACCCACCGGGTTCAAGCCATTCTTCTGCCTTGGCCTCCAGAGTAGCTGGGATTAGAAGTGCATGCCACCACACCCAGCTAATTTTTGTATTTTTAGTAGAGATGGGGTTTCACCATGTTGGCCAGGCTGTGGTTGTTATTTAATATGTATATTATGAACTGGGTAAACTAGCAACATTTCTGCAAGAGATAGTTTAGAAATGGAAGCACAGCTGGGCGCGGTGGCTCACGCCTGTAATCCTAACACTTTGGGAGGCCGAGGTGGGCGTATCACCTGAGGTCAGGAGTTCAAGACCAGCCTGCCCAACATGGCGAAACCCCATCTCTACTAAAAATACAAAAGTTAGCCAAGTGTGGTGCACTCCTGTAATCCCAGCTACTTGGGAGGCTGAGGCAGGAGAATCGCTTGAACCTGGGAAGCAGAGGTTGCAGTGAGCTGAGATTGTGCCACTGCACTCCAACCTGGGCAACAGAGTGAGACTCCAAAAAAAAAAAAAAAAAAAAGGAAAGAGAGAAAAAGAAATGGGAGCAACTCTTTAGTATTTTTCTTCTGTGTGTGGGTTCCCTTGCTGCTTACTCATTGCTGTCCTGTATGCTGTTTTTCAGGTCCCAAATGCCACCTGTATCTAGGAAGCTTTCGTCCTTGACCAAATCCTGGAGCACTATGCAACTTTCCCAGCCCCAGTATAGAAGCAGCAGTATTAATTCGCAGGGTGAACACAAATGAATCAGTGAATACAATGATCTTCTACTTTGGTTTCTTATTCTTGCAATTGTTTTGCCAGTGTAATAGTGTCACTAGGTAAGTTACATGTAGTTCTTCGGCTTTCAATGGCTTATCATTGCCTCAGAGGCTTCTGTATTATCCTTCAGCTATTTGTCTTTGAAATGAAGCAGAAGGAAAGCCTGCCAGTGATTTCTTGGGTCCCCTTTATTCTCCCAAATTTTAGAGAAATGGTACATATCTAGAGGTCTTTGGTAAAGCAAAATTTGCTTAATAATAGAGTGTGTTGTAGAATCCCAGAGGTTTCTAATGTTTTCTGCAATTGTCTCTTGTTCATGTAGAATTTCTCTGGACCCTGTAGCCGGCAATCGTTACCCCTGTCAGCACTCTCTCTTTACAGACTCTAATGCTCCCTCAGCTCAACATGGCATCCACCTCCTCAAAACCTTCCATCATAGTAAACATAAGACTCGGTAAACACAAACAAACAAACATCTTTCAAACATGCATATTCAGGTACTATTTTCATAGTTCGAATTCCTGCAAGATAGATCAAAGGAGTCATGCAGGCTACAGTTTAATCCAAGGTAGCATTGAATTACTAGGCATCCAGTTTTCATGCAGTGTTTGAGGGTTGAAAGAATACTCTCACAGAAGTTACATCATCCCAAAGTGGTAACAAGATTTGATTAATTAGGAAATATTGGACATTTATATGAGTGGAATTATCATATTTCCTCAAATATGTTTGTGTTTACCGAGCCTTATGTTTACTCTGATGGAGGGTTTTGAGGACGTGGATGCTACGTTGAGCTGATGGAGCATTAGAGTCTGTAAAGAGAGAGTGTTGAGGAAATACGATAATTCTACTCATATAAATGTCCAGTATTTCCTAATTAATCAAATCTTGTTATCACTTTGGGATAATGTGACTTCTATGGGAGTATTCTTTCAAGCCCACCTTTGGCCTGCATTATGTGCCTTTAAGCCACTGCTTTAAAAGCATGTAGTAGGGAACACGCTTGGCATATATAGGCAGGTGCGTATCCTAGCAGCCCAGTCCAGCACGGACATATGACTCCATCGGTGGGGTTCCAAATTCATATTAGTGTTGTCTGCTTGCCAGGTGGTATACAACGGTGTGGTAGTACTGAATTCTTTCCTTTTACAATGCTGTTTTCCATCTGGCTTTGATTCTTTTTTTTTCATCACAAAGTATACTTCCGAAAAAAGGAATATTACTTTATCAACAAAGACAGGCCATCTTAAATCAACATTTAAAAAACTAGATTTAATTTGCAAAATTCTAAAGTAAATTTTGGATGTTTTTCTATATGCAAGTTACTTTCACATTTGAAAGAAGATTGACCCGTTTATATAGTGAATACATTTACCTGTGGAACACTACAAATATAAAAGCTCTGTCAAAAGGAGGCTTTCTCCCAGTATTTTTTCTCCTTTCTTTCTTTGTAGAATCCCTAGGTTTTAGTGGGCCTCTCTCTGTCCAGAAACAGACTGTATTTCTCCCCTTCCCTTGTAGCTTGACTTAGCCATGTCTGTCCAACAGGACATAAGCAGGAGTGGTGCACGGAATTTTCAGGAAATGTCCTTAAAGGGAAAAGGTTCTTCTACTTTTCTCCTTCTTTCTGGCTACAATGTGAATGTGAGAGCTGGAGCGTGAATACGCACCTTGGACTCTGAAGTGGAAACCATGTGCTAAGGATGATAGAGCCAAAGATAAGAGCCCGGTTTCCTAGCATCATGGGACGGCATGTCACCTCTAGAGAGACTACTACCTCTCTAGAGAGATTTTTAATGTGAGGAGTTAGAAAATAATCTGCTTTTTTGATAAACCACTGTAATTTTTCATTTACTGTTACTCCTAGCTAATCTAATTTAAATGGGTAAACCTCAAATATGGGAAGAAATGATCTCCTTTTGAAAATACACCATACTGGCTGGGCGTGGTGGCTCACGCCCGTAATCTCAGCACTTTGGGAGGCCAATATGGGTGGATCACCTGAGGTCAGGAGTTTGAGCCCAGCCTGGCCAACATGGTGAAACCCCGTCTGTACTAAAAATACAAAAAGTTAGCTGGGCGTGGTGGCGGGCGCCTGTAATTCCAGCTATCGGGAGGCTGAGACAGGAGAATCTCTTGAACCTGGGAGGCGGAGGTTGCAGTGTGCTGAGATGGTGCCACTGCATTCCAGCCTGGGCAACAAGAGCAAAACTCCATCTCAAAAAAAAAGGAAGGAAGGAAGGGAGGGAGGGAGGGAGGGAAGGAAGGAAGGAAATAGACCATACTGTACTCCAAGTTATTTAGTTTGGCCTAATGGTAGCGTCTCCATGAAGTAATTCAAATCTGAATGATGTTTCTATAATAAAAAAAATCATAGCAACAATACAGCTCACTCCAATTTCTCTTTCTGAGGGCGTCAGTACCTTGAATATGATGTTCACTTCCTTTGAATAAATAGCATCTTGAAAAGCGGAAATAGAGTATCTAAAGCAAACTCAAACCTGCTTTGGAAAAAAAAAAGGCAAATTCAGTAACATTTCCAATGCTTGTGTCTAATGCGATTGTGAAAACAAAAATTAGTGTTATGGGTAATTTATGTCCTGACGAATTCAAAAGATTGGGTGTTGAATTATTGGTGAGTTTTGTACTGAAAAGGATTGCTGCTGAAGTGCTGGCCGTTTTCTTTCTTGACCTATATGGTAATTGCATATATTTGCTTTTAATTATCAATTAAACTGTATGTTTATGTACTTTTCTGCATTGTATCTCATAAAGGATTAAAGAAGTGAATTTTGTGGTTTCTTTTTAAAATATACCTTTTATTTTTAAAAGCCGATATTTTTTTTTTGACAAGAATAAAGGTAAATTACAAATTCTTATTATTGTGAGTTTCTCAACCAAAAATATATTGCTTTGCTTAACAAATTGTTTAATCAAATATATGTGATATTTTAGTGGAAGTCATCCAGTAGTTTTAACTAAGGATAATCTCAGAAAGTTATCAGGCTTTCTATGTATAGAATCTCCTTAGCTAAACCCATTAATATATTGGATCTAGTTGAAGTACAACCACCTCAACTCTTTTATAGAATAAGGTTAGAAAAAAATGGATGGATAAACCAAATTTTAAAAGTTGCAGGCTGGGCGCAGTGGCTCACGCCTGTAATCCTGTAGTAGGACGAGCGGCAGACAAAACTCCTCAGACACCAAGTTACAGAAGGAAGGGGTTTATTCGGCCGGAGGCATCGGCAAGACTTCAGTCTCAAGAGCCGAGCTCCCGGAGTAACCAATTCCTGTCCCTTTTAAGGGCTCACAACTCTAAGGGGGTGCATGTGAGAGGGTCGTGATTGAGCAAGCAGGGGGGAAGGGACTGGGGGCTGTCTGCACCGGTAATTAGATCGGAACAAAACAAGATAGGGATTTTCACAGTGCACTTCTTTTTTTTTTTTTTTTTGAGACTGAGTCTGGCTCTGTCGCCCAGGCTGGAGTGCAGTGGCCGGATCTCAGCTCACTGCAAGCTCCGCCTCCCGGGTTCACGCCATTCTCCTGCCTCAGCCTCCCGAGTAGCTGGGACCACAGGCGCCCGCCACTTCACCTGGCTAGTTTTTTGTATTTTTTAGTAGAGATGGGGTTTCACCGTGTTAGCCAGGATGGTCTTGATCTCCTGACCTCGTGATCCGCCCGTCTCGGCCTCCCAAAGTGCTGGGATTACAGGCTTGAGCCACCGCGCCCGGCCCACAGTGCACTTCTATACAATGTCTGTAACCTATAAGATAACAGAACCAATTAGGTCAGGGGTCGACCTTCAACAACCAGGCCCAGGGTGCGGCACCGGGCTGTCCACCTGTGGATTTCATTTCTGCCTTTTAGTTTTTACTTCTTCTTTTTTTGGAGGCAGCAACTGGGCATAAGACAATATGAGGGGTGGTCTCCTCCCTTATTCCTCCCTTTTGAGACTCTCACTCATTTTATTAATGGGAGTTCTCACTTTCATTTTCACTACCCATGTCTTCTTGTAAGACAGATGGATATCGATTTATATAGTACATTTGTGCTGAAGCATTTTGATGAACTAAGGTAGCAATGAAGCTTTTTATCATTCGAAGAAGTACAGGTATCAAACAAGGGAGCAGTAGGCAGGTTCCTATTATTATTATAACTCTTATGATAAGAGTTTTAAATCCTCCTAGCACTGGGAACCATTTTCCAAACATGGTCCCAGGGTCAAATCCATGCCACACTTGCACAGGCACATGTGCCAGTTTTGCCATATCTCTAACTATGTCTTCTACTACTTGCCCTTGATTATCTATGTGTAGGCAGCAATTAGTAAGGTTAAATTTCCTGCAGATCTCTCCTTCAGCTGCTAGCAAGTAGTCAAGAGCTAATCTATTTTGATAGATAGCATTTCTCGTCTGAGTTTCTTGCCGGGCCAGAATAGTCAAGGCTCTGCCGGTTTTATTAGTGATTATTTCTAAGACAGCTTGTAACCGTATGATTCGGTTGATCGTGTACGTGGGGGTCCGGTATCCCCACGAGCCATCTTGTGCCCAAGTAGCAGGCCCATAATGTTGTATGATTCTCTCAGGGGGCCATTCATCATCTTTCCAATTTCCTATAGCTATGCTTCTCTTTCCACGGGAAGCATAGACAGGGAAGCCCAGGAGTTTGCCTCTTTTTATGGGCAGTAGGAAGAAAGATGGTTTAATAGTGCCAATAGCACAACTACCTGCCCACTGGTCAGGTAATTTGGCATAAGCTTGATGCCCACATATCCAATACAATCTAGTGGGGACTGTCTAGTCCTGGTGGGATTCCGGGTGGGTCCACATGGTTTGCAACTTTGGGAATTTGCTAAATGGATTCCTCTCTGTTTGATTTGAACTCCACCAAGTGACTGTTTTTGTGGTACCATTATACAGTTTCTGTCCCACACAACTAAGTTGTCCTACAGGGTGAGTGAATTCTTTTCCTTCTCTAGCTATCCAATAATTGAGGCTTTTAGGACCCAGAAATTATCA